GCCTTCTCACTGACTGAGGGAAGGCAGGCCCTTGGGGGAATTTGAGAGGCGCCATGGACTGGTGTCCTGAAGGCTTAAAGGCGGTCCTGCAGTGGGGGAAGGGGGAAGATGTTCTGCCCAGGTTGGCAGGCAGAGGCAAATCCATTGCTAGATGAGCTGGTGGGCAGGTGGACATGAGTGAAGAAGCGGGGGTGAATGGGTGCTCTGGCAGCATGTGGTCCAAAAGGGTGTGAAACAAGGTATCGAATGTGGGCTGTCTGCAGACAAGGCCCCTCAAAGCATTCGGTTGGTTCCTCTAGTACCTGGAAGTCCAGGGCCAAATCCAAGGCTGCCGTGAGGACCCTGTGCAGAGAAACCATCATGAAACCCAGATGAGCCCAGAGACCAGATTCTAGGCTTTGGGTGAGGAAGATGGGGGCGGGGGATGGAGATTAGACCTGGGGGAGGGGAGTTAAACTGGGAGGCCAAGGGGGCAAGTCCTGTGTCTTATAGACCCAAGATAACGCCAGTTCCAAATCTGAGAAGGTGAAGTGTGGCCTTTGGGACAAATGTCAGTGAAACTGGGTCAGCCCTTGTCAGAGGGCACCAGTTCAGGCTCTATCAACCTCAGCGTTCTCTTCCATTTAGGGTGTGGTCAAATGGCAACCCACTCCAGTAGTCTTGCCTGGAGAACCCCGGGGATGGAGGAGCCTGGTGGGCTGTGTCTATGGGGGTCGTGAAAGTGTCAGACGTGACTCAGCGAATGAACAACAAGAACAACAAGAACAGCAACAACATGATCTAGCGATGTGACCGTTGCCCTCTCTGTGAGCTCCTAGCGTCTGCAGAGGTTCGCCGGGCGACTCCACACATCTGCAGCAGCAGGGGTGTACTCCTGTACCCACAGCACCCAGAATGGGGCCTCAAACACTCTGGACACTGGGCGTCACCTGCATGGACTCAGACGGCACTGCTGAATCATGATGTGGACAGTGGCACGTGGAGGAGGCAGCTGTGGAAAGGCAGGACTTCACACACTAGAAGCGAGGTGGGCCTGGATCCTCTTCCAGCAGCGGCCCCGGTGGCCCTGGATCTGATAAAAGCCCATGGGACTGGCGGGGCGAGTCGTGCCCAGATTTGTCTGGTGAAACTGGCAGGTGGGAGAGTTCCGTGAGCCAGCAGCAAGTCTGTTGAGGGTCATTCGGGGGTAGACCAGCTAGACCAATCCCTTGTCTTGATAATGGAGATGCTGAGGCCCAGGGAGGTGAGGTGGCTTGTCCAAGGTTGGACAGCAGGCATTTGGATGTTGAGATTTCCCATCTGCTGACCCCTCGTATGTCATCCTGGGGTCACAAGACAAAGAGGAATCCTGGAGAGGGTTGGGGCCCCTGACCCTGAACAATGCCACCTCCTCCACCAATCCTGACCCCCAAAATAGTCATATAAGTTCAAAGAGAATAACCTCATGCTTTCTTCTCATTGAATCTTGTCATTCACAGCTAAGTCCCAGCATGAGAGGCAACCCCAAAGGACTGAGTCAAGTTAGCCATCCCCTGTGGATGCCCTTCTACATGGGCTCTCTTGCATACTGACCTCTCCCCTCCAGCCTCTGGATGCTGTTCCTGTCTGTTCATCCAGGGGTCACTTAACCAGGGTTGACCATGGCACACATACCCTGGGACTCCTCACCTCCCTCCATGGAAAGAAAACTAGATCAAAGTAAGCCCCAGGGCCTGTGCTCATGGGCAAGGCCCCTTGTCCTGGACTCCTGAGGGCTGGTCCAGCTTGGGGTGCCCAGAGACCCCCCGGCACTGTACAAATGCTTCAGAGACTGCCCGGCCTTGGGAAATGCACGCTGGCGGCTTCTGCTTTTGCAGTTAGCCCTGGGCTTCTCCATGCTACACACCTCTAGGCCCCCAGTGGCCTCCTGTCCTCTCACTGTAGTCTGTGCTGCCCACCGCTCCGGCGCAGTCTTCTCTGAAGAGTGACTTCTGTTACTCTTCTCATGGGCAATCTCCAGCAGTTCTCTATGGCCCCCACCAAAGTCATGCCTGTGCTGGGCTTTGGAGACCCTCCATGACCTCCCACTTTCTCCTTTCATCACCATCACAGGGGGCCTCCTCACTTTTTATATTTAAAAAAAATATTTATTTATTTATTTTTGGCTGTGCTGGGTCTTTGTTGCAGCTCAGGCTTTTCTCTAGCTGTGGGGAGTTGTGGGGAGCGCAGGCTTCTCATTGTGGCGGCTTCTCTTGTTGCAGAGGACAACAAGATCCAGCATCTGTTGCTCTAGGGCACATGGGTTTCAGTAGCTGTGGCTCCCGGGTTAGTTGTTCCACAGTATGTGGGATATTCCCGGACCAGGGATCAAACCCGTGTCTGCACTGGCAAGCAGATTCCCAACCACTGCACCACCAGGGAAGCCCTTCTCACTTTAAAAAATAAGCTTTGCCTCTGTGGTTTCCCCAGTCCAGAGCACCCTTTTCCCCTTCACTCAAGGATTCAAATCTCTTCCTTCTCCAGGGCCGGCCTACACTCGGCCTCCTCCAAGCAGCCTCAGGACATTGTGGATTTGAAGATCCAACCCTTTGTTTTCTAGATGAGGAAATCGAGGCCCAGAGACATTAGCTGACTTGCTGAGAAGTCAAATCACTAAGTAGAGGCTAGAAATCAGTGTTTCCTCACCCTGCAGTAAAATACTTTTCACTCTTCCCAGCTGAAGAAGGTGTATCATCCTGGAGGGAAAGGGAACCTGGAAAGGGACAGGACTGTTCCTAAGTCCACTGGAGCGCCAGTTGTCCTTCAAACCAGAAACACACAATTAAGTGCTTAATTATATGCTGCTCTGCATTGTTATTTGAGTGTTTCCAAAGGAGATTGTAAGCCCCTTGAGGGCAGGGAACTTTCCCTGTACCCTGGATCGTGTTCCCTCCAAAGCCCTTAGCATGGGGCACGTGGAAGACCTCACATGGTGGGCCTGGGACCTGGGAACTTTCATCTGCCAGAATAATTTTACCGTCTCCATTGCTGGCAGCAAACAAAACAGCATATGGAAGCCAAAGAGACTGCCCGGCGGCAAGTCCGGTTCCAAAGTTTTCACGGAGATGGAAGGGGGGTGTCTGTGGGAGTGCACAAAAACCGTGGCTTTGGCAAAGACCCAAAGGGGACAAATAATGAGCTTCAGGCCTGATGGGCTTGCAGTTTCATTGCCTGCTGCTGCTGTCATAGGAAAGGCACCGATGGCTCTGGACGACACGCTGTGTAAGGGGTGGCAAAGGTCTCTGGTGCGCGCACCTCTCCTGCTCCTTCGCCCCTTTCGCAGCTCCTCTGGGCACCGCCTAATGCTCCTCCCACCTCCATCCCTCTCTCACCCTGGAAGAGCACTTGGTCTGCTGGAGGCCCCTTCAGGGGACTGTCTGAACATTGTCCTGTCCAGGCACCGGCCCCGAGACCCTGATGCTTAACGTGGACCTCGAAGGCACTGTGTTACTTTATTCAACTCCCATGTCGCATAAATACCGTAGGCTGAGGCGCTGGTTTCCAGCCCCCCTGGAAAATCGCAGTACCAGGACAGGGGGAAGGGGCTTCGTGATGAGACAGGGACCTAGGAACTGGAGAAACTCATCTTGGCCCGGGCAAGAAACATTTTTCTTTATTTTTCTTTCCCTTCTCTCTTTGTATCCAAACTTGAAACCGTGTCTCTGGCAAAGCTGTTTGAACAGATTTACAGATTGGTGAGGCGCTGGGGGCGCCCGGGGAAGGTTCACCGGTGGAAAGGTTGTACCAGCTCCACTTCCAGGGCGGCCTGGAGCCGCCCGTGATTGGCGGACCCTGCTCGGCACATCTGAAGGGCTCCACACTCCCCTGCTCTCCTCTGAGGCCCGAGGCAGGAGGCTTGTGACAATACCTTCTCTGGCTTCCCAGTGGGTTGGATCACTGGGTGAGAGGAAACGGCTGACGACACCCACCCACCCACTCACTTCTGTCAGCCTGGGGGCTGTGCCCTTTGTCCTCCGAAGTTGGCATTCGTGCATTCCACGTTCTCTTCCCTTCCCTAAAACGGGGTGTGAGCCATACAGCGCGCAGGGATCACATTATTTCCCACATTCCTGAAGAGGAATCTTAGGTTCAGAAAGGGGGCGTGGCCCTCACAGGGTCAGGTGAGTCGCCTGTGATGTCACATCTCAGCAGCCCCTTCAGGGCCTCAGCCCTGGTGGAAGGAGGACAAAGGCCAGGCAGGCTGGGCTAACCCCTGGGGAGCTGCGGGCTCCAGGTCCTCTGGAGAGTGCTGGGAGGGCTGCTCAGAGAAGCCAAAGAAGGGGCATGGCCAGGATGTCTCTGCCCCACCACTGAGACAGCACAGAGCAATTAAGGACCGATGAAGACAGACCGGCAGGATGGCATTCCAGGGCCCTCTTGCCCAGATCAGACTCAATTACCGGGCATAATTATATGCAGAAGTGCTGTGGGGTAGCTGCCCGCACATGCCATTTGAAGCTACTGGGGGAGATGCTTCTTTCTTTGACTCTAGTTACCCCCTTTGGGATCCTGCCTTATAGACCCACCTATCAAACTAAAGCCTCCATCAGAGATGATGGAAATGGATTCTGGTGAGACCATGTCTGATGTCAACATCTCTTTTAGGACACTCATCCCAGTTTATTCTCAAGAGACACCACACCCCTTGACTCTGGTCTCCAAGGTTCATGGACTTCCCTGGTGGCTCAGATGGTAAAGAATCTGCCTGCAAGTCAGGAGACCTGGGTTCGATCCCTGGGCCAGGAAGATCCCCTGGAGAAGGGAATGGCAACCCACTCCAGTATTCTTGCCTGGAGAATCCCATGGACAGAGGAGACTGGCAGGCTGTAGTTCTTGGAGTTGCAAAGAGTCAGACATGACTGAGCGACTAACACTCTGAGGCTCATGGGTAGAGTTAAGGCCCCCAACTTGCCCACAAATACTCGAACCATTCACTTCCACCCCAGGATTCACCCCAGTTTTGAAGAATGGGAAGGTCTTACCTCGAGTTTTGTTTTCTTTGGGAGAGAGAGAGATGGTCCTTCCTTCCTGAAGATAGACAAAGAACTGGTAGCGATGTAAGCCGCTGTGTGCTGGTGGGGAGGGAGGCTGGTAGGCTATGGGAAGAAAAAGGAGAGAGGGTGGGCTCCATGTGCCCCAGGACACAGGGGCTCTTGGCTGCTCTGGGCATGGGGCAAAGGGTTAGTCTTGGTCCTTTTCATGGTCCTCGCTGACCCCCCTGGGGTCCCAGCTGTGGTGGTGGGGGGGTCCACATACTGCAGACCATCAGGCTTTATCTTGGGCAGAATCTCGTCTTCAGTCGCTTCATTTAAGAAGCACATTATTTGGGGGGGTGGGGGGAGGGGGAGGTGTGGGCAGGTTGAAGGTCTTGGGTGCTGGCTGGACTCTTGGGCCTTTCCGGACCAGTGGGTGTTGGTGTTGTCCCCTTTCTGCTTTGGTCTATCCTGATGGATTTCCTGCCTCAAGAGAAACCCCATCTTCCTCTGCGAGTGTGTTTGGCAGGGGATTTTTATTTATTTTCTCAGCATTTCCTTATGAACTCAATCCCCAAAGAAGCCAATTTCTTGGCTGGATCCGGAGGATCTGGAAGTGGTTACGGGGGTGGGTGGGACTCGGTTCAAAGGTTTGATCATGGAAGCTGTAGGATCTGGGTGCTTGGGGCACCGGGAGCTGACTCAGGCTCTTCCGGAGGAGAGTGCCCATCTCCCCTCCTTTTGCTCTTTGTGCGGGAGGCACTCTTTGTTGAGGGGGAGATGTGGAGTGGGGACATCTCTCATCCTTCCCCTAAGTTTATACAGGGCTCCAGGGGTTTTGCGGGTCGGACTTCTGCAGACTGTTCCAGCTGGGCCTCCTTCCAAGAGTGTGGTGCCTCTTTTCCCGCCCCTCTGCTCCCTTCATCTTTCTTTCCAAGGAACCAAGCATCTTCCGAGGGGTGGGTGGGGATGGAGTGTTTGCAAGGATGCTGCTGGTGGCATGGAGCATTGGTACATGATGGCCACCTCCCTCTCCTGATCATCAATTAGACAAGAATCACTTGCTTCTCGGAGTGGTGGGGGCGTTCCTCATGGTGCACTTCCGGCCTCTGGTGCGCTCGCAGCCAGGGGAATTCCTGACTATTCATTCCTCCCTGGGTTTTTACATTGCAGAGCAGATATGTGTGTGTGTGTGTGTGAACCCAGGGTCTGGCAGAAGTCATGTGAGTTGTGTGAACCAGGGTCTACACTGGGGTGGGTGCAGGTTTTGCAGGAACTGGTGGGCATGTGTGCCCAGGCTATTTTGGAGGGTCTCTGCCAGTGTGTGCATGTGGGTAAATTGACATTTTTTTTTTTTTCTTAAACAAATATTACTGACCAGTGATGGATCTCAGTGGTTCCGTTCAGTTGGGAATTTGTCCTAGGGGGAGATGGAGATGGAAGCGCTTCTCACTAGGGTGTTCCTGAAGAAACTCTCCCTCCAAAAGTAGAGCTGAGAGGCATGAGGAGGAAGGGAATGGGACACATTTGTTGAGCTGCATCTTGGGGCCAGGCTCCATCTAGGTGCTTTCCCATATTACTTAGTCACGAGTGTTAGTCGCTCAGTTGTGTCCGACTCTGCGACCCCGTAGAGTGTAGCCAGCCAGGTTCCTCTGTCTATGGGAATCTCCAGGCAGGAGAACTGGAGTGGGCTTCACATCCCCAGAATCCTCATCACGACTCGGGAAGGCGGGTATTAAGGCCATTATCTAGATGAGGAAACTGGGGCTCTGAGTGATGAAGTCAGGCTGACAGTCAGTGGTGGAGCTGGGCTTTGAGTCCAGGCCTGTCTGGTGCCCGAGTCTGTGTTGCTTCACCAAACCATGAAACTCAGTTGGTTTTTTTCCTTGCTCAACCCTTTGCCAGAGGCCAGCTCACCCCTGGAGCAGTTGCTTCAAACTGAGTGGTGGGCCTGCCCTTGCTTGGGTGGATCCCAGAGGGAAAGGAGGCGGGGAGCTGGTGGTGAGGATGGGGGTGGGAAGAAGAGGGGATTGGAGAAAAGGACGGTCCATGCAGCTGCATAGAAGGGCTGGGAGAGAGCAGGGAGGGGACCAAGCCCCTCTGGGGGGCAGTTCTGGTTCCGGGTTCTGTCTCAGCAGAGCCCTGTAAGTTAATGTGGGTCCATGATGGCAGTGACCTTAAAGGACAATTGTGAAGATTAAATCAGAACGTCCAAGTGAACTTGGGGATCAGTGCTTCCCACACCGTGACGCTGTACTGCTATGATGCTTGTCAGCGCCCTGGCTGGGGGGAGGGGCCCTGGAGGGTGTCACTCACGCGATAACTCCTGGCCCTGAATCTTCCCTATCTTCATGTCGGTGCCCTGAAAATAAGAGACAGGCACGGGCAAGGGTTACTCCCAGGGCAGCGAAAGGCCACACCATCCACTCAGTCCCAGTGGGCTCTGCTGAGTTCTCGCTTTCTCTCTGAGAGAGCCGGATGGGAAAGGAGGAAGCGGTCTGGCTGTCCTGGGGATGCTGCTGGGACAGGCTGTGGGGCTTAGAATGGTGCCTCAGGGGGTCTGGGAGAGACAGATCCAGACATTGTTGGGGATGACCTGCTGGCGACGCACGGACCCCCTGATCTATGGAGAACTTGAGAGGACCCTTCCGGAAGAGACATCCCCCCTCACCCTCGTGCCCCCAGGCTGAGCCCAGGATGCACCTCTCGGTCTGTGGGTCCGGTCAGATCGAGTGCCTGGGCTGACCATGCTCACGGCTTGCCCATCCTCTCGGGCTCTCTTTAGGACCTTCAGAATACTCGGCCAGCGGCTGCCTGAACAGCCAGCAGGGCAAGGGAGGGCCGGAGGAGGCTGGACCGCCTGATTCTGAGGCTCGAGGGGACTCAGTCCACCATGCTGGGTGGCTGGGGCAGCCTCAGTGTCCCCGCCCCTCCCCCTTTCCCTCCCCCTCCCTCCCCTCAGTGTCTGTGAGATAATGAGGTGATCCCGGGCGGGCGCTAATTACTGTTTGTGCAGGGCCGGGAGGTGCTCAGATGAAAGGCGCCGGATCTGGGCCCCTGGGTCTGTGCCCAGCTCGGGGCCCCGGGCCATGCCAGGGAGTCCTGCGGCCCCTAGGTGTGGGGTTTTATAGCCTTAATGATGGTGATTAGTGCGGCTCTTCACTGGTTCTGCCAACACCTAACTGTGCCCCGGCTGCCTCTCCACCCGGCCCTGCTCCTTACCCGTTGGGGGCGGGGGGCGGGGCAGGGAGCAGCAATATTCTTCTCAGGTCTCTGCGGAGCTTCTCAGAGTCTGAGTGACCCAAACCCCAGTGTGGTTTCCTTTTGACGAAACTCAAGCCCCATTCCCCCATTCCAGACCTTCCATGCCCCTCCCGTTCTCCCCTCTAGGATGCCGTTTGCCCAAGTTTGATCCAGAACATCCCCCTCCCTCCCCGCCCGCTGCTCCTCCATGTCCAGCTAGGTCACCTATGGTAGGAAGAAGGGGCAGGAGACTGCAGAAGGATGGAGCCCCACTTTGAGCCCCGCTCCCACTGTTTCCTGATGTCTTTTGACGTCCTTGCCCTCCCCCTCACCCCATCTTGTCTGCTCAGTAGCGTCCAGGTAGCCTTCTAATTCAGCCCCTCAGATGGACCCGAGTTCTGCTTACCCCCTCTCCCCCAGTATCAGCACAGGCCTTATCCAGGGCTGGCTTGAGACCCTGTTGTGGCCAGCAGCTGAGGTTCTGGGATGGCTGGATGTGTGGGGGAAGCGGAGGCCCCTCCCCTGGATACCCGTCTCTCTCCCAGGAGAGGTGGGGAGGACCTGAGGCCTTCCAGTCGCTCTCTCCAAATAGCTCCCTGGCCTCTCTAGTAGGACTGAGGGGTGGGTGCTGAGGCCAGGGAAGCCCAGCCCAACCTGGCCTCCCCCTTGCTCCCAGCCTCCCCCTCATTCCTTCCCAAGTCAGCCCGGCCAGTGGTTTGTTTAAACAAAACAATAGCAACCTAGGCCGGCTGTTTCTTTTCAATTCCCCACAGGCTTGGGTCCCACCCAGAGTGATAAACAGGCCTCTCTCCTGGTGTAAGCACTGGGAGGGGGCGAGGGCGCGGTGGGCCCTGGGCCTGTGGGGTCAGAGCAGTGTGGAAAGTCTGATCGCAGCCTCCAGGAGGGTGGGGAGGCTCTCCGTCCCCTCCCTTTCACTCTGGGGAGTCTTTTTCTCATTGGCCGGGGCCGGCTTGGCAAGGACACATGCAAACCCTTAGTAACACTGGCGGCCCTTCCTGCCTGCCTTCCCCTGCCCACTGCCCCCGAGATCGGCTGAGGCAGCTGCCAGGGGCCATGAGCAGACGGCACTGATGGCCTGAGAGCCTAGAGGGTCTCCCTGGACCCTGTCCTGGGACAGATGCTGATCCTTGTTGGCAGGAAAAGCACCGTGGAAAGTTCAGAGAGAGGACCAGGCAGCAGGAGGGTCCCTGAGTGTGGTCAGCTCGGCTGCTATTTACTCAAGTTGGGTTGGGAATTGGCTAAGCTCCCCTTTGGCCATCCCCTTCCCTCACTGCTCTGTCCTCGGGGGCTTAAAGTTTCTACCACAGAACTAACACCTGGTGGGGGTCTTAGCAAACCAGATCCAAGGGTGAGCAAGTTGAGTCCCCAAAAGAGCTCAGACATGGCCAGCACCACACGAGTGGTGAGTGAACGAATGCCAGAATGTTCTAGGAGGAGGGACCCTCAGACCTGTTGACCTTGGACCCACAATACTTCTTCTAAGACACTGGGACAATCCCATTCCTTCTCTAGGAGGTTTTTGGGAACAGTGAAAGGCTTAGTCGCTCAGTCGTGTCTAACTCTTTGCGACCCTGTGGACAGCCTGCCAGACTCCTCTGACTATGGGATTCTCCAGGTAAGGATGCTGGAGTTGGTAGCCATTTCCTTCTCCAGGGGATCTTCCCAACCTAGAGACTGAACCCGGATCTCCTGCAACGCAGGCAGATTCTTCACCATCTGAACCACCCACCATCATGTATTTATTTTTTGGGCTGTACCCTGTGGCATGCAGGATCCTTGTTCCCTGACCAGGGATTGAACTGCATTGGAAGAGTGGAGTCTTAACCGCTGGACCACCAGGGAAGTCCCAGGAAGACCATTATTAATGTATACAGATGTTACCCGGCTAGTGGAGGACAGAGAGGCCTGGAGTGCTGCAGTCCGTGGGGTCGCAAAGAGTCGGACTTGACTGAGTGACTGAACACCATGACCTGGATGACTGGGGCTCCTGTGGCAGTGATTAGGCAGCCCCTCAGCACCACCCCCATCCCGTGTGAAAACATGAACTCTCCTAAAGCATCATCGTGGCCTACTGTGTCACCTTAGAAAGCTGGAAAGTCACCTTAGACAGCTGGAAAGCTCTGGAGATGGAGGAGATTCAGGGGAATTTTGAAGAGAAGAGGGAAATCTATTATTCAGAGGAGGCGGGGCTGAGGGAAGTACCCTGAGAGTGGCAACAAGCTCAGCCCTTGAGGACCAGACCCCACACCTGTCGAGTCTGAGCAGAGCGGAGCTTTGGCAGGAGAGCCTCGGGAGGGGAGGGGCTCCCTTCCATTCCCCATTACCCCACTCTCGGCCCCCGGGTGTGCTGCTCCTCTTTAAGACTGGCACAGACAGAACTTCCTTTCCCTAACTACAGCTAAGACAGGTGGACATTTTCAAAAGGAACTTGTCTGAATGCGATTCTTAAAAAGGAAATCATGACAGAAATTACACACAGCATGAAAACAGTTGGATTGCTAATTCTCAAAAACACTGAGAAGTCCGGGATGGGTCCAGCCTCATTTCAGGGATTTCAGGATGGGAGCACCAGAGGCACTTGGGAGGGTGTCCTGGGCCCTTCCTTCTAAGTCACAGGGACCCGGTGGCCTTAGGACAGCAACTCTTTTCCTTATCAGCATCCTCTGGAAATGCGGAACCCAACACTCAGCATCCTCTTAGCGGGGGGAGGGGAGGAGGAGGTGGGAAATTGCTAAGTTGGACCCTTAAATGTTCGGGATGTAAGACAGTCTCCCCTCTTTCTTAGACTCTGGTGCTTGATGTGTGCATATGTGCATCCATGTGTGTGTAAATGTGCATGTGTGTGCATGAAGGGTGTGTACAGAGCTGGCTGGCATACAAACTGACACATACTATCCTAATCAGAGAGAAGCAGCTCAACTCTGTGGACCCTATGGAGGGATTTCCTGGTTTATAGAACATGAGACTTTTCCTTCCAGCTCTCTCCCACCTCAGAACCCATTTTTTGTTGAGCTAGTTTGAAACTGACATGTGAGATGTTTAAGAAGAGCTGGGCCGTGACAGGGAGTTGCAGCAGCCTCATTTCATGGACCAGGGTGATGCAGGCTGTCTCAGCCAGGTTGTTGTTCTGACCGGGGCTTGTCTCAGGGCAAGTAAAGAACACAGTGATGGGGCTTTCCTGGTGGCTCAGAGGTAGAGAATCCACCTTGCGAATGCAGGAGACACGGGTTTGGTCCCTGATCCGGGAAGATCCCAGATGCCATGGAGCAACTCAGCCTGTGCACCACAACAGCTGAGCCTGTGCTCTGGAGCCGGGGAGCCACAGTTACTGAGCCCGTGCCCTAGAGCCCGTCCTCTGCAACAAGGGAAGCCTCTGCGGTGAGAAGCCCGAGCACCGCAGTAGCCCCTGCTCGCCACAACCAGAGAAAAGCCTGAGCGGCAACGGAGATGCAGCACAGCCTAAATAAATAAATAAAATTATTAAAAAAAAACCCAAACACAGTGCTGGAAGCTGACAGCTGCCCCCCATCCCATCTCACATGTGTAATGAGCTTTTAGTACTTATTCTCCAGGATACTGTCCAATCAATGGATCTGACAGCAGCTCTTTCATGGGAAGAGTAGAGATTGGTCTCCACATTTGACTGGAGAGAAACCCAGAGAAGCTTCAGCTTCTCAAGGGCAAGGGCTGTATCCTTTCCATCTTTGTAGCTCTCAAGATGCTTGGCACATAGAAGGGGTGTTAGGTGTTCTCAGAGCCCTGGCCCATGCCCTGGCTCACTGGCTCCACCTTCAACCTGTTTCTCCTGGTCCCAGGGCCAGCACCAGCCTACAGAGCTTGCTTCACCCCCAGCCCCCAAGCATCAGGGCAGATGTGCTGGGGTGTTAAAGTTCCCTGGCAACAGCTCTTAACCAATGACTGATGGGAATTGGTGTATAAGTGCTCCAGGAATCTACAGTGGAACTTGCGTCTCATGAAACTTCCTTCTCCTGTCTTACCCGCTGCCTCATTAGTGCTCTCTAGTGTCCCCAACAAAATAAACTACTTGTGCTAAAATACTTGTCTCAGGCTCTGCTTCTGGGGGACCGCAAGCTAAGA